CCGTTATCCTGCATTAGGGTTTGGGGGTGGGGGGTATGGGGGTGCAGATTCTGTGCGCCGTCCCCTGCTCCTCCTCCTCCTCCGTCTCCCGCTGCTGCAGCTGCCGCTCAGGGGGGTGGGTGTGTGGGAGCCGAAGGAGTGGTGCTAGGGGGGTGACGTGGGAGTGGAGCTAGGGTTTGAGCAGGGGGTGTGTGTCGAGGGTGTGGGGCAGCTGGAGGAGGTTGTGTGAAGGTAGCTGTCGTGTCGCCTGCAGCGCCTGTAGTCCGTCGCCCTTGCTTCGGTAGCCAGTGAGCCTGTTGCACCAGTCGCCAGTGGGTCCGTTGCTCCTGCCGCTCGTCTATAGCCGCGGAGCCAGTCACTCCAGTAGTCCGTCGCCCTTGCTTCGGTAGCCACTGAGTCAGCCGCTCCTGTGCCCGTGCCTCTGCAGCTTCAGTCGTTGCCTCCCATCTTCTCTCCCTCCACAGTTCCTCCTCCTCCTCACTTGCCCGCTGTGATTAACTCTAGTTTTGCTTACCTTTGTGAACTCCTGCTCTATACCTGCTTGCTCATTGTACTGATTCCACCCCACTTTGGCTATGGGGGTGTGTCAGAATATTATGTTCTAGCCTGTAGTGGGGTGCTCTATAGCGAGTACAACCCATCTAGGGTTTGCTATATGTATCCTCATTGCTGCTAGTGAAACCCCTCTTTGCCTAAACTCTCTCTTGCCTAGCTAGGGTTTTCCTAGCTATGGCTCCTCATTCTACCTACTACTTTAACAGATTCCACTGGAGGTTGCGACGGGGCTCCGTCACCGCAATCAGAGCCGCTGAGTCCGTATCGTCCCAGTCGGAGTCGGTATCGGCAGCCAGCGGCAGGGAGAGCAGGTCATCCGCCGCCAAAACGCGAACAGCCCGCGCGTTCGGCGGCGACTCCTCGGCGGCGTCCCCCTCCGCAAGAGCTCGGTTCGTTTTTATCATATAATCCGGCGCCGCCTTCTCGCGTGCGGCACCCGGCGGCGTGCGCGCCTTGCCTGCAGCGAGCAGCCTTTTATGATGGTCGGGACTTGCATCGAGGGTAGTAGCGAGAGCGGGGTTGAATTCCGCGGCCGTTGCGGCGGGGGACACATGCGCCGCAATGAGCATACAGAGCACAAGCAGGAAAATGCGAAGCACGGCCATTGTTCATGATCGCTTGAATGGTTGACACGAACTAGTAAAAAATGTGGAGTAGATATATATGAATTGAACGGATGGTGCGGGGCTACTGCCGCGTGCAGGGGCTGAAGGAAATCGAGGCGATTATTTGTTGCGACGCGGAATCTCCGCGCAAACGGGAAGAGGAGTCGAAGCGCGGTACTCGGAAGATCACTGCGCCCGCCGCGGCGGGCGGGTGGCGCGCGTCGCATTGTTTCCTCTTCCCATTTCACTTCCTTCGTAACTACAATCGCCAAGAACCTTCGTCTCTGCGGCGCAAAGGATCGCGAAAGTAGCACGGGTAACTAATACTCTCTCGCGACTAGGTTAATGTCATGCATAACGGATCCCGACGAACGCAGATGGGCAAATTCCGCGCAATCATTTGCACAACTGAATGCAGCCGTCCGCGCCGTGAGCCACGGAAACGTTGATAATGATGAGCGGCAAGGTGCAAGTTCTCTTTAGCGCGTACCCGAAACCAGCATACTCGCGCATACATTGCATCACGTGTATTTCATCACACTCGGCAATCGTACTTGCAACTTCTGAACTGCTCTTGACTCTACTATTATAACAACAAAACACTGTAGCTAAATAAAATATACCGTACATACATGTGGGCCAGCAAAACCATGGCCTCACTGTCACTCCTTGCAATCGCATTCCAATGCAAGCAGGTACCGTAAATGCCATGCCATGGCACACGACCAGCAGCAGCAACGGCAGCAACAGCAGCAGCAGCGTCAGCTTTCTCGTCGTGTCACATAATCAAGTGCTAGCTTGGCCCGGCACTGTAGGGAGCACCAGACAGGAAGAAAAACAACGAACAGCACAGGAGTGTTTGGGCCACCACCCACACACTAACTCACGCATGCTCACACATGCACACGCACACGCACACGCACATGCACACGCACACGCACATGCACATGTGTGCGCATGTATGAGGAAGCACAGTGCGTCCCGCCCGCCCACTCCATCAACACAACCACCACACGTAGAATCACAGCAACCCAAGTGCACAAAAACCTCGAAAAGACCACACGGAAAAGCCTATCCACAGCAACACAAAAGCACAAGGCGAGTGTAGTGAGCATGCGAGTGCCTTACAGCGTGTCCTATCCACTAGCAGAGGGCGAGTGCATGGCTTACAGCGATGTCGAAGCTCCCTTGCGCTGCCAGCCGCTCTAGCTGTGCCACCACGCCCTCTGCTGCCCTCACTGCAGCAGCTCGCCTGTCAGCGCCCGGGCAGGCGGGGCGGCAGAGGTTGGCGAGGCACCAGAGGGAGGCCAGGCGCAGGGATGTGCAGCCATGCAGGCGCAGCAGGTGCAGGATGAGTGGTGTTGCTGTGAATAGAGGGGCGTTGCTGGGCTGGGGTGGGCTGGAAGGTGGGTGGTGGTGGACGAGGTGCGGCGGAGTGGTGGCAGCCAGCGCTTCTCCCTTTCCATCGCGCCCCTTGATGCTGCCAGCAGCACGAGCAGCAGCACTTGGACTTGAGCCTGCATCACTGCACGCGACCGCCCTCGCTCCATGTGCTTCCACGTTCCCTGCTGTGCCACACACGGCTGCTTCACTCCCTGCGCCTGCCAGCCAGCACGCTTCAAGTTCCCTCACCTTGGCAGCGGGCAGCAGCAGCAGCGGCAGCACAGAGTCCTTGGCCTGTGCGCCGCCTGCTGCCATGTTGCTCAGAGCCAGCATGGCCTGGCGGGATACAGGGAGGCACAACACAGCATAGCACAGCACATCGAAGGACAGAAAGGGACAGTTCGAAGGACAGGACCAGGGATTACTGAAACGGAGTGTAAAACACGGTGTGCAGGCCACGCACCTCCACGCGCACTGCATACTGCGCTCGCCGCACCGCCGCTAACTCTGCCTCTGCATCCCACCCACCCTCCTCAACTACATCCCCTCTCACTCCTCCTCTTCCCACGTCTCCCCCTGCGGCTGGTCTAACGGGCACTGGGCGGGCAGGCAGCAGTTTGGCGGCGAGGAGGCGCAGCAGGGCGCCGTGGAGGGCAGCGGGGGCCAGCAGCAGGTGGGCGTCCTCCTCTGCTCCGTGCGCCACGTTGCGCAGCAGCGCTGCCGCCTGCACCTGCACGCTTGGGGAGGAGTCTGGCGGGAGAAGGTGGAGAGGGATGCAGGGCGGTGGTGGTAACGGAACCATGGGGAGACGGCAGGTGGCAGAAGGATGGCGTTGGCAGCAGGCAATAGAGAGATGGGTAGCGGGTGACGGTAGCATAAAAGTGTGACACGGCAGGAGAATATGAGACACGAAGCACGCACCCACTTGGCAGCAGGGTGGGCAGGCAGGCACGCACCTAGCAGCAGAGCGGGCAGGGTGGCGGGCAGCAGGAGGGCGAGCAGCTGTTGCTTGATGGGTGTGGTGGCGGAGTGAGCCACATTGCGCAGCACCATCACACTGCGCTCCACCACCTGCACTTCCACCCGCCCTCTCCCCCCCACTTCCCCCTCCACACTCGCTTCCACTCTCCCCTTCACACCCCCTTTCACACCCTCTTGCATGCATCCCTGACGCCCCCCTTCGCCTCCGGCTGCGAGCTGGGCCATGCGGGAGAGCAGCCCTGCATCCACGAGAGCAGTCGTGTTGCCACGGAAGTCCAGCAGCAGATTGGCCAACGCCGACACTGCTGGCAACTGCGGCAAGGCGAAGGAATGTGAAAGGAAAGAGGAGGGAAGAACATCTTAGAGTTTGACTGACTCAGCCATGCGGGAGGGAGAGCAGCCCTGCTTGCACGAGAGCACCCGTGTCACCACGGAAGTCCAGCAGCAGATTGGCCAGCGCTGACACTGCTGGTAACTGCGCGGAGCCGAAGGCATGCGAGAGGAGAGAGGAGGAAAGGCTTAGAGTTTGACTCAGCAGCAGATTGGCTGGTGCTGACACCACTGGTAACCGTGGCAAGGTGAGACTATGTCAGACGAGGGAGAGGCCGAAAAATCAGTATTGGCCGACGCTGATGCAGCTGGTAGCTACGGTGAGGTGAAATCACGTGAGAGGAGAGAAAATGGACTGGGTGGGGGAGAGGCGAGGCTGAGTGGGGCTTGGGGGAAACAGCATGTGCAAAACACGGTGGGGATGGGAGGGGACGGGGAAGCGAACGGGTTGGGAGGCTGGGCGGCTGGGCAGAGGCATTGGGAGGGCGCACCTGGGCAGAGGCATTGGGAGGGCGCACCTGGGCAGAGGGGTCGGGGGAGGCGGCGAGGTTGAGCACTGCGAGGATGATGGGCGCCGTGGACAGCCCTGTGCGGAGATTCTGAGCAGGCCCACGTGGCGTGTGTGTGGGGGTGTGGTGGTAAGGGGGAAGGGTGGGCCATTGAGAGGAATGCAGACAGATGAGTCAAAGATGGAACCACGAGGTCAACAAAGGAAGAAAAGATATAGAAGGTAAGAGAAAGATGGAACCATACTGAGGGCATTTGTACTGGGTTTGTGGAGGCAGTGATGGGTGGACAAGTTGAAGGCCAAACACAGGGCCTCATGCAGTCCGCACTGATGCACTGCAGCACCCCTGATGCAGTCGGTGGTGAATGCCCGCAGTGCAAACAGGTCATCAGCTCTGCTTGTACCTGATTGTCAGTGGAGCGTTTGTTTGAAAGTAAGTGGAGTGAGACAAGGCGAGTGGCACCTTGATGGAGCGCGAGAGCGAGTGCAGGCAGGAGCACGCAGCGGCGCGCAGGGGCATGGGCTGGGAGGCATCGAGGCAGCGCAGCAGAGGCTGAAGGACCTGTGGGCAGCGATGGAGGGGGAAAGAGACAAGGGGGAAGTGGAGAGAGGGAGGGAGGGTAGAGGCAATCTGTGAGACAATGCACACGTGAGTGCAGCGTGGATAGTGCACAGTGCATTGTGTGTTCTCACCTGCACACGGCATCACCTGCACACGGCATCACCTGCACACGGCATCACCTGCACACGGCATCACCTGCACACGGCATCACCTGCACACGGCATCACCTGCACACGGCATCACCTGCACACGGCATCACCTGCACACGGCATCACCTGCACACGGCATCACCTGCACACGGCATCACCTGCACACGGCATCACCTGCACACGGCATCACCTGCACACGGCATCACCTGCACACGGCATCACCTGCACACGGCATCACCTGCACACGGCATCACCTGCACACGGCATCACCTGCACACGGCATCACCTGCACACGGCATCACCTGCACACGGCATCACCTGCACACGGCATCACCTGCACACGGCATCACCTGCACACGGCATCACCTGCACACGGCATCACCTGCACACGGCATCACCTGCACATGGCATCACCTGCACACGGCATCACCTGCACACGGCATCACCTGCACACGGCATCACCTGCACACGGCATCACCTGCACACGGCATCACCTGCACACGGCATCACCTGCACACGGCATCACCTGCACACGGCATCACCTGCACACGGCATCACCTGCACACGGCATCACCTGCACACGGCATCACCTGCACACGGCATCACCTGCACACGGCATCACCTGCACACGGCATCACCTGCACACGGCATCACCTGCACACGGCATCACCTGCACACGGCATCACCTGCACACGGCATCACCTGCACACGGCATCACCTGCACACGGCATCACCTGCACACGGCATCACCTGCACACGGCATCACCTGCACACGGCATCACCTGCACACGGCATCACCTGCACACGGCATCACCTGCACATGGCATCACCTGCACATGGCATCACCTGCACATGGCATCACCTGCACACGGCATCACCTGCACACGGCATCACCTGCACACGGCATCACCTGCACATGGCATCACCTGCACATGGCATCACCTGCACATGGCATCACCTGCACATGGCATCACCTGCACATGGCATCACCTGCACATGGCATCACCTGCACACGGCATCACCTGCACACGGCATCACCTGCACATGGCATCACCTGCACATGGCATCACCTGCACATGGCATCACCTGCACATGGCATCACCTGCACATGGCATCACCTGCACACGGCATCACCTGCACACGGCATCACCTGCACATGGCATCACCTGCACATGGCATCACCTGCACATGGCATCACCTGCACATGGCATCACCTGCACATGGCATCACCTGCACATGGCATCACCTCCACATGGCATCACCTGCACATGGCATCACCTGCACATGGCATCACCTGCACATGGCATCACCTGCACACGGCATCACCTGCACATGGCATCACCTGCACATGGCATCACCTGCACATGGCATCACCTGCACATGGCATCACCTGCACACGGCATCACCTGCACACGGCATCACCTGCACACGGCATCACCTGCACATGGCATCACCTGCACATGGCATCACCTGCACATGGCATCACCTGCACATGGCATCACCTGCACATGGCATCACCTGCACATGGCATCACCTCCACATGGCATCACCTGCACATGGCATCACCTGCACATGGCATCACCTGCATTGCATGGGCATCACCTTGAGGTCTGAATGCATTGCATACTTGCTGGTTACCCGCACTTAGCACAACATATAACCTTGAGGTCGAGTGCCTGGCGGCGGATGGGCTCCCATGAGGAGCACAGCACAGCTAGTGCCGCCGCTGCACCCTCCCTCTGCACCGCACTGCGTTCCACCGCCACCACACTCCCCTCCCCTTCACTCCTCCCCTTCTCCCCTCCCCGCACACTCCCTCCTCCGCCCTCACTCCTCCAGCCCAACCCCTCCCCACTCCCCCTCCGCGCCTCCCTCCCCTCTCTCCCCTCTCTCCCCTCTCTCCCCTCGCGCCCCCCTCGCACCCTCACCCCGTCATCCCATGCGCGTGTGTTCTCGCCCCTCTCGCCCCTCTCACCCCTCTCACCCCATGCCATCCATCGGCGCGAGGGGAACTCCGCACTCTCCCTGCGCCCCACCCCGCTCAGCCATCCACGTGAGGCCCTAGGCTCGGTAAATACCAACCCGTTGGAGGTAGGCTCGGCCAAGCCTACAGAGCCGAAAGTTACAACGGGTGGGGAGCGGGAGAAGAGTGGCCTGGTGGCAGCGGCAGTGGGGGGCGAGGAGGAGGAGGGGATGAGCGGCGAGGGGAAGGATGGAAAAGGGGGGATGGGGGGAGGGGAGAAGGAGGAGGGGATGGGAAGCGAGGAAGAGGAGGGGATGGGGGGCGATGAAGAGGCAGCAGTGGGCGCGGGGCGGAGCAAAGCGACGAGCTCAGAGGCAGCGTGGGCGTTGAAAGCAGCCCACTGCACGTCCTCCCTGCTGCCCAGCAGCTGCTGCAGTAGCCTTGGCGCCTGCTCGCCCACCTGAGGGGGAGGGGGGAGGGCGGGAAGGGGGGAGACACGGCCAGGGTGTGTGGAACAAGGAGAGAAGGGAAAGGCCTTTCAGGGGAGACCGGCTTTCGAGGCGCCACAAGAGAGGAGGGAGGGTCGAGCAGTGAGACATGAGAATGGCTTGTGGGGGAAGGTAACAGAGGCTGCAGAAACCGAAAGAAACGAATCGATCAGCAGATGAATGACAGCTGGAGGACAAGTGCGAGCGCTCACTAGAAGATGCCCACCTGCACACGCATGGTCAGGCATGGTGCATGGAGGCACAACACGGGAAGAAGGCGCGACAAGGGACAGACACACGACTAGGGAAAGAGGCGCGACAAGGGACAGACACGCGACTAGGGAAAGAGGCGCGACAAGGGACAGACACGCGACTAGGGAAAGAGGCGCGACAAGGGACAGACACGCGACTAGGGAAAGAGGCGCGACAAGGGACAGACACGCGACTAGGGAAAGAGGCGCGACAAGGGACAGACACGCGACTAGGGAAAGAGGAGCGACAAGGGACAGACACGCGGCGCGACAAGGGACAGACACGCGACTAGGGAAAGAGGCGCGACAAGGGACAGACACGCGACTAGGGAAAGAGGCGCGACAAGGGACAGACACGCGACTAGGGACAGAGGCGCGACAAGGGACTGACACGCGACTAGGGAAAGAGGCGCGACAAGGGACAGACACGCGACTAGGGAAAGAGGCGCGACAAGGGACAGACACGCGACTAGGAAAAGAGGCGCGACAAGGGACAGACACGCGACTAGGGAAAGAGGCGCGACAAGGGACAGACACACGACTAGGGAAAGAGGAGCGACAAGGGACAGACACGCGACTAGGGAAAGAGGCGCGACAAGGGACAGACACGCGACTAATGAAAGAGGCGCGACAAGGGACAGACACGCGACTAGGGACAGAGGCGCGACAAGGGACTGACACGCGACTAGGGAAAGAGGCGCGACAAGGGACAGACACACGACTAGGGAAAGAGGTGCGACAAGGGACAGACACGCGACTAGGGAAAGAGGCGCGACAAGGGACAGACACGCGACTAGGGAAAGAGGCGCGACAAGGGACAGACACGCGACTAGGGAAAGAGGAGCGACAAGGGACAGACACGCGACTAGGGAAAGAGGCGCGACAAGGGACAGACACGCGACTAGGGAAAGAGGCGCGACTGAAGGGATACTATGGAGAGCGTTACGACGGCGAGAGAGTTTCGGCTATGGGAATTGATGTTGTGCCAGTAATTCGGTAGCGTTTGGGTAGCGTTGGTCTCAAATGACTAAGTGAGAATTTGAGTAGAGATTGGACTTCACTAGGAAAATAGAATATATGAAACACAAACAAACACACATGCAAATATAGGCTACGGGAGAGTTGCACAAAGTTGCCGTGGCGCTGCGCAGTAACCCAACCCCACGAAACTGTCGTGTGGGTGGGTGAACGCGCCTCGGCCAATTCCCAACCCAACTCAGCAGCGCAAACCACTTCCGTGCACGCCACTCCAGCCAACACTGCAAGGAGTGGCGTGACTCTCAAAGAAGCACGCCCAACTCCCAAAGACCCACGCCATCCTGCACTGACTCCGCCGAGTTTGCTGCGGTAGCTCGCTGTCACCCACAGTCACTAGTGACTGCCACCGAACGCATGCGTCGGTGCCGAGTAGACTCAGTCGTTAGGCGCTGACCTGCCAAGTCAAAGGTCATCGAGGGCCCTTGCTGTCGTAGGGCCCTCTAACACTCCCCTGCCATACTACAGCAAGGCCCTTTATAATCACAGGGCATGCATACACACATACACACCAAAACAAAGGGAAACACACACAAACGAAGCACTCTCAAAGTGCAAACACGCACCGCACCAGCCATGGATAGGCCATGGCACCAACCACATCAAGGAGTGTCTAGGTCTCACTCCCCTCGCTCGAGAGCCTCACCTGCCCCACAGCCTCGAAGCAACGACTGAAGGCGGGGAAATGCAATGCCTTGGTAAGGTAGTCAGCAGGCTGCTCGCTCGTAGGGATGTACTGCAGCTGCAGCTTCCTGCGCTTGACCATGTGCTGCAGCCACATGTGACGACGCTCCATGTGCTTGAGGCTCCCCTTGAGCCCCATGCCACCTGCCACTGAAATGGCGGAGGAGTTGTCCACAAAGAGAGTAGTGGGAACCTCACTCCTCAGCAGTTGAAACTCTGCCAGCAGGAAGCGCAGCCTGCGCGCCTCCTTCCCAGCCTCCACAGCAGCAACGTACTCGGACTCAGTGGAGGAGAGGGTGGCGCAACGAATCCTCTGGCTTGCCCAAGAGACAGCAGCACCTCCGAGCACGAAGACATAGCCACCAGTGCTAGTCCTGTTCTGCTTGTCTCCTGCATCATCAGCATCGGCGTAGCCCACCAGCTCCAAGGACTCAGGCCCACCACCAAACTCCAGCGCAACATCCCTGCTCCCCACCAAGTATGCCAAGCATCGGTCCAACTCCTTCCAGTGCTGGTCACTCCGCACAGTCTGGCCTGACCCCAGCTTGCTGCAGGCAAAGGAGATGTCGGGACGGGTGGTACAGGCTGCGAACTGCAAGGATCCCACCTTCTGCCTGTACTCCTCCTCCTGGCGAGACTGCCATCCCGCATCCTCAAAGGTCTGCACACTGAAAGGGTCAGAGGAAAGGGGGGTGCGAGGCACTCGCAGCGGCTGCTCCCCGTCGAAGAAGCGCCTATGGACCTTGTCCACGTAGGCCCCCTGGTGCAGCCACAGCCTCCTCGTAGGCCTGTCCCGAATCAGCTGCAACCCCAGGTACTTCTCCACAGGGCTAATCTCCCGCAGCTGAAACGCACTCTGCAGCAGCTCACGTAGCTCCCCCAGCATGCTCTGACTGCGGCTGGCAGCAAGCAGATCATCCACATACACCAGCAGCCAGCACATCTCCCCCTCAGCATCACTCTTGAAGTACAAAGCCTCATCCACTTTGCTCTTCTTCCATCCAGCCCCAAGCAGCACCCCATCCAAGGCCTCATACCACAGCATCGGGCTTTGCTTGAGGCCATACAGACTCTTCAACAACTTACAGACACGAGGAGTCCCATCCTCGTAGTAGCTCGGCTGCTCCATGTAAAGGTCTCGGTCCAGCACGCCATGGAGGAACGCGTTCTTCACATCCAGCTGCATCAGGTCCAAATCAAGTGCAGCTGCAATCGCCAGAAGAACACGTGCCGTCACATAGCTTCCCACAGGGGCGTACGTCTCCTCATAGTCCACCCCTGCCACCTGCGTGAACCCCTTCACCACCAGCCTCGCTTTCTCACGCTCCACTACCCCATCCGGTCGGAACTTGGTGTTCAGGATCCAGCGGTTCTTCATCACATTCACCCCTGGCGGACGCGGAACCAACTCCCACGTCCCCTGCTCAATCAAGCTCCGCATCTCCTCATCCATCGCCTCCTTCACCTTGTCGCCCTTCCAGCAGCCCAAGGCCTCCTTCACTGTCATCTTCGCTATATCCCACTGCCTCTCAGGGTCGGCCACCACGTCAGGATCCAGGTCCGTCCACTCCTCGTCCTCCTCCTCGTCATCCAATCCCGCGGGCTCAACCACTAGAGCCCAAGCATACTTAAGAGGCGGGATACCACGAGTGATGCGAGTGGAGCGACGCAGTGGCGCAGTGATCGTCCCAGAAGCCAACACACGACCACCATCTCTGATTCCCCACATCTCCTGCTCCCCTGTCTGCTGCTCCCCTAGCTGCTGGTCCACCATCTGCTGCTCCTCAATCTGCTCCTCCCCTATCTGCTGCTCCCCACTCTGCTGCTCCCCTGACTGCTGCTCCCCTATCTCCTGCCCCCCACTCTGCTGTACTCCATCCATACTGCTCTCGTCCTGCAGCTGCTCAGTCTCAAGGCGCTGCCCCTCGGTGATCTCCACAGACGGGGGCACCACTATCCCCCCCTCACCAACGGGCGGCGCCGTGGAAGACGAAGAGGAGGGTGGAGCAGGTGCAAGAGGGATGGAGGGTGGAAGGGGAGAGGGAATAACAGGAGGAGGAGGGGAAGCCAAGGGGGGTGAGGAGGAAGAAGGTGGTGCAGGGGGAACCACACGAGGATAAACGGAAGGAGGAGGTGGGGTGGGGACCGAGGTAGGGACATAGGGCATAGCAGGAGGTGCGACCACCTCCTCCTCCTCCACCGCCTCCTCAAGAGTGATCGGGAAGAGTGAGGGAAGGGGCTCATAGGGCATCGGACGCTCCGCATGCTCCGGCTGATGCCACGCCTTCCATCCTGCCAAGGACATGGTCTCATAGAACACAGCTTCCACAGTGGTGATGAGGCGGTTGGACTCCAAGTCCAGCACGGTCCAGCCCTTGCTCGCTGCGGAGACCCCCAAGTGCAACCCCCAAGTGCAACCCCCAGCGAGCCTTAGGCGCCAGCTTCCCCCCACGCTGCGACTGCGGCACCATGTACTGCACCATGCAGCCCCAGACACGTAGCATACTAACATCGGGTTTGTGTCGAAAGGCGAGCTCGTACGGCGTCACACCAGAGGGCAGCGAGGCGTGCTCCACGCGGTTGCGCACCCAGACGGCCTGCGCCAACGCCAGGTGCCACCAGTGGTGCTGCACCCCCATGTGCAGCAGCATCGTTCGCACCGCCTCCACAATGCTGCGCATCTCCCGCTCGGCCATCCCGTTCTGCTCCGGCGTGTACGGGCACGTCAGGTCATGGATGATGCCTTTGCCGTCGAGGAAGAGCGTGAAGTCATGCCCAAGGAACTCGCCACCCCGATCAGTGCGCAGCGCCTGCACCGTGGTCTTACACTGCCGCTCTGCCATCGGGAGCCACTTCTGGAACGCCGCCAGCGCATCACTCTTCTGAGCCAAAGGGTAGGCCCAGACGTACCGCGACTTGCGATCCTTCAGCACCAGGAAGTAGCGGCTGCCGTCCTTAGCTGTTTCACGGAAAGGGCCACACAGGTCAGCATGCACCACTCCAAGC